TCAGACATATAGACTAACAAAATAGGTTGGGCAAGAGTCCACATGGCTTTCGTAAAGGGAAATCATGCCTCACCAATATATTAAAATCTTCTGAGGGGGCCAATAAGCATGTGGACAAGGGTGATCCTGTTGATATAGTGTACTTAGACTTTGAGAAAGCCATTGACAAGTTCACTCACGAAAGGGTCTTAAGCAAACTAAGCAGTCATGGGATAAGAAGGAAGGTCCTCTGGTGGATCAGTAACTGCTTTAAAATGGGAAACAAAGGGTAGAAATCAATGGTCTGTCTTCACAATGGAAAGAGGTAAATGGTGGAGTCCCTTGAGAATCTGGGTTGGGAACTGTGCTATTCAACGTATTAAAAAATGATCTGAAAAAGGGGGTAAACAGGGAGGTGGCAGAATTTGTAGATATTAAATTACTCAAGAAAGTGAAGTCTAAAGTTGGCTGTGAAGAATTATTATGTGATCTCACAAAACTAGATAACACTGGGCAACAAAAAGTCAGATGAAATGCAATGTTGATAAATGCAAACTGATGCACACTGGAAAACATAATCTCAGCTATAGATATAAAAACTGACGGGATCTCAATTAACTGTTATACTTGAAGAAAGAGATCTTGAAGTCTTTTAGATAGTTTTTTGAAAACATTCGCTCAACATGCAGTGGCAGTCAAAAAAGCTAACAGAATATTAGGCACTATAAGGAACAGCATAGACACCATAATGCCACTCTATATATCCATATTACACCCACACCTTGAATATTGCATGCAGATCTGATTATCTCATCTCAAAAAACATGTATTGGATTTGCAAAAGGTTCAGAGAAGGACAATAGCAATTATTAGAGGAGAGATTAAAAATACGAGAATCAACTAAGGAGAGATATGATAGAGGTGTATAAAATCATGAATGGCACGGAGAGAGTGAATAGTGAAATGTTATTTACCCCTCTGCACAATACAAGAACAAGAGGTACCCCATGAAATTAATAGACTGTAAGCTTAAGAAAACCTATAGGGAAGTACTTCTTTACATGTGCACAATCAACCTGTGGAGCATGTTGCCATGGGATGTGGAAGATCAAAAATATAAATGGGTTCAGAAGAGCAATACTGGGCTAGCTAGACCATTGGTTTGATTCAGTATGACCATTCTTGTGTTCTGATGTTTATAAGAAGAACTGTCTGCCCTGAAGAGCTTATAGTCCAGAGGCACAAACTTTGAAGTTCCAACACAGATGACAACAGGAGTCTCAAACTCCCAGCCCTCAGGGCATCTCCCGCCAGAATGATTGCACAATCCGGCCTAGATTGGCCAGTGGGAGGACCCTGTTAGTTACTGGCCCCCGCACCTCACTCCTTCCCACTCTCACATTGTCCTCTACCCCGATGGCACCCCGTCCCCAGGATGCAGCTTTGGGGATCACTGTGGGGGCTGGTGCCATGTGGTGGCAGTAGTCAGGCCCTCTCCCCCACATTTACCACCTAATAATTGGTAACTCTGAGCCACCTTTGAGCTCCACGAATTCAGAGTCCATGCAAGATGCTGCCCAGCCCCTTGTATAAATCAGAGCAGCTTCAGGACGCCTCTAACTTACGACTTGCTTGTTATCGCTCTCTTTGGGTTGTGGAAATCCTGCAGCTGCTAGAGCCTCTGTACATGGGGTATTCTCAACAGACCATTTCTGCTCTCTCCAAGGCCTCCTTATACCAGTAACATCAAATAAATTGGCCATATTTTAACTGAGAATCAGCTACAGTAGATTAACATAGCAACATGATTCCACTAAATATGCGACATAAAATGCATGTGGGTGTTGCCAGATCTCTCACTGCAGAATCAGGGTCCAATACGGTGTCTGTGTTAAGTACTGTAAATGAAAAATACATTTCCTCTAGGTTGCTCCTATCAACGTATGCATATAAGGAATGTGTTATGGATTTCATCATGATCATTATATAGAAAAATATTCCACTCCCATGAAAATAGTTGGTGTTTTTAACTAGCACTGGTGACACTAAATGCTCTGTTTATTTGAATGATTATCTTCTATCTTGGAAAAAAAAGTCTATTGTAAAGGCAAACAGCTGTAGCTCACAATAAGCAAGCATCCTCACTCTTGTTTGTTGCCAGAGAAAATGATTGTAATACAGACATGTATGCTTTTAGAATCTGAAGCACAAAGTAGTTGTAAATCACTGCCCATGGGTAACAATTACTCCACTCATTAATAGATCTCCCTTGTCGCTCATAAAATAACTTTGAAAATATCTCCTGGGTCAGGGTGGGGGAAGTGTGTTTTATGATAATTAACAGCCACCTACTTTGTGAATCTCTAGTATTGCTGCTTTACCCCCATAACTGTTGGATTACATATGTAAAAACAGCAGATGATACAATGAATTTAAAGTTTGCAGTGGAAGTGCATGGGTTTGAATCATCCCCACTGGGGCCACTACATGCAATCCCGGGTGGAATGAAACCCTGTATTTACAATTTCATATTTTACTCCTTAGCAGCCACCTGTTACAACCAAAAAAGGACACGGTCAGAATAGGGGATAAATTACTTATGGCATACAACAGAAAAGGAGCGATAAAAGATTAAAACATGAAATCTCACAGGGAACATTTTTGTATATTTAGGATATTTATAAATGCCAGTTTCAGATAATTCAGTACTATTCATTAATAAGCTCTTCAACATTTTCAAGAATAAGAAGCAAATTCACTGCGCATGTGAACAGACAACTCCAAAAAAGTCAGTAAATTGTTACAAGTGGATTTGGTCTTGGAAGTCTATCACAATATGCTTAAATATTTTATTCATATATAATTTATACATGTATAAGTGCCTGATTTGTCAAAGACAATGCAATTGTCTGAGAAAGTGGTATATGAACTAAAATAGTTTTGTGTTATTGCCCAGTAGGCAGTTAACCATTTACAAAGAGATCAATTTGTAATTGGCTTGTGGGTAAACCAATAAATCTCCATGGTCTGGTCTTTCACTGGCTCTCAAGAGCAGTAAAAACAAATCATTAATTACTATAAAAAACAAGCTCAATATTCCTTAAATATATTTTAAGATGTGTTCCTAACCTACCTACCTTTATATTTTTTTTGCTAAAAAGAGTACAGTAACTTCCAAACATAAAATGGAACAACACTGGGTACACACAAAATATGGCATTTTCATCAGGCTCATCTACTGCTGTAAAACGACACACATTGGGCATGAAAATACCCCTTGAGGAAACTCACACATCATAAAACGATGTGAGAGAAACTTCAATGGGAAGGACTTTGAATAGTCTGTTACTCAAAACGAGCAGGTATTGCTTATTCCAGAGTGTTAGCATCACATCTGAAAATTGTCTATACCAGATTCTGTTCTTAAAAGGTAATTAACATACCTAGAATTTTAAATAATTTATATTCAAGTAGGCCCAGATATATCAGTTGTGTCAGTGATATGAAAGCAGACCTCTTTTTAAATACTTCAGTCAATTTGTTTTTATGTCTTCTCCCCCTCACACTAAATAATCCCAATTTGGCGATTAGTTTTATGTTTTATCATATTGTCAAAAGACCACAATCAGCTTGGGGCCCCATTATGCTAGGGATTGTATAAACAAGGAGTAAGAGACACTCCCAGTTCTGAAGAATTTGCAGTCTGATTTTAGGCAGGATGCAACAAGTGGCTATAACACACAATCATGGGGGGGGGAGAGGGGGAAGGAGCACAAGCATTGCAGTGACAGCAACATATGGTTACATTACTTAGCTGTGCACACAATTCATGGTTGGGAGTCATTTGCCTTTTAAAACCGATAGGCTAAAACCAAACAGAACAGCTACAATCGCTGGGATTTACAGTCAAGGCTGTCAAATGCACAGGTCCATCTCACACGGCTATATAATGATTAATGACTATTTGAAGTACTATAGCACCTAAGAACCTCAGTCATAGACCAAGAATCCATTGTGTTAGGAGCTGTATAAACACAAGCCTTCATTTTAGATAACATCTAAAATTGTTTTACCACTAGGATCTTTAAAATTGTTTCCCTATTTTGAATGTATCTGTAAAAATAAATCAATGGTAAGGACCCAATCCTCCAAGGCCGAGTGACCTCAATTTCTATAAAAAATAATGGGAACCAGGGTGCACAGCACCCTTGATAAGTATTCAACAGGATCTGTCCCTAAAGCAAAATATTAATTTACAGCCCCAAATTTTGGGTTGTTGTTAGACACAGCTGAAAGTTTTACTGTGAAGCTCATCAGTTATGTCTAACAAAATTGTCAATTGACTTTTATCTCAGGAAGATAGATAGATATCATGCCTACAGAAAGGTTGGGAGAATTTAAAGGGCTTTGGTAACATCTGACAATCCATCAGTAAGTCTGAGGTCAATGCTTTACAAAAAATAACAAAGTATTTTATGGTAATGTCTCTATAATTCTTTTTTTTCTGTCTGAGGCCTGGGTTTAGGTTTGGAGCGAAGTAAATATAGCTTAGAAGGGATAAAATCTTAATCTCTGTGAAATTTAGTGTGGAATATAAACATTAATCCAACCTCTGTGACCTACTAAAAATGAATACTTGATCTGCTCCCACAGATGTCAGTAGCACCACTCCCATTGACTTCAATTGTTCGGGATCAGGGCAGTAATGAAGAGTAAAACCATATATTTGGACTATTGGACTTGTACATATTGCTCTTCTCATTGGGGATTTGAGTCAATGCCCCATGCAGTCCAGGGGCAGATCCTCAGGTGGTTCAAATTGTCATGGCTTTAATGGAACGATGAAAATTTATATCAGTTGAGCATCTGCCCCAAACAAGCTCCTGCCCTTGCCTTCAATGGACACTGGAGCAGATTCTAGTGGATAGAGCTTTGGTGTTAATGATGAAATTAAGGAGGCATTTGCTATCCAAAATTTTAATTGTGGCAGGCACCACTTTACATTTATTTTCTCATTGCAGTGTTTTACCCTGAAGTTGTCAAACTGTGTCATTCCAATGTAATGTGACAGAAACAACCTGCCCTGATGGAAGCCACTCCTGCGGCAGGTAAAGAGATCTGGAAGACATTTGAAAACAAGAAACAACTTTATATCTGCACCCACTATAATTTGATGTAGCAACTAGCAAATACTCAGACTGAATATAGAAGAGTAGAAACAGAGCAGGTATTAATATATCTGTTCTTCCCACAGATTGGCAAGCAGCCTAAATCCACTGCTACCTGAAATTATGCCAACCTGTTAGGCACATCTGAATTTAAAACTAATCTCTTATTTGCAATCAAAGCATCTACAAAGCTGATGCTTGTAATGGGTTTTATTATACTGCATTAAATATTGTTGTTGAAATTTGCATTTGCAATGGCCAATTAGTATATTTATTTATTAGAATTTAGTCATGCTACTTCTAGTAAATGAAATGCAGCCCATAAGAACATAAATAGGATTATTAGCTACATTCCCCTCTTTCCTCTTTTATAGCCTTCATTATTTTTGCACAAATGCCAGGAAATTTTTTTTGTGAAAAATTAAGTTTGCATGAAGACTTGCCCGCTCTCCAAAGCTGTGATGACATTCAATTTGATTGCGAGTTACACCACATTAAAAAAGACGTTTTTCTGAGCACAGCGGTTAAAACCCAGACGCCTACATTTATTTACATTTGCAATGCTTCTGCCATGTATATAGTGATACAGTGAACTACTTAGCTTGTGGAATGAAAATAACTTGCATCTGTGTTAAATGTCAGACGAAATTTTAGCGCTGATTAATAAGTAATAAATACATAATTAGAAAAAAAAGTACTCGCAAAACTGCTGTGTGTCTAAATCATCATTCATCCTTGAACTGAATGATCAGACTGAAATAAATACAAGATAGCGAATTTCATTACATGACCTATCTCCTTTTTACAGGAGTATTCAGGTTTTGGAATAATATCGCTTTTTACTACTTTGCTTTAAATGAAGGATATAATATTTCCATCATTATTTATTAAGATGTAGTATGTGACCAAATATGTTATGGTTTGGTTCAACATAAATTGATATTTATTTCATATTAAGAGTCAAATGCCAAGAAAAAGGATTTTTTTAACTACTTTTGGACTTATTTAAATGTTTCTTCCTATGCTCAGTCAGTTTGGATTAATTTAGGAAATCACAAATAAGAGAAAGTAGAGTGAGAAATGAGATGTGCTACAGACAGGAAGTTCAGATCCATATTGGAAAATCCCTAAGTTTAGACCCAGGTTTTCTTTTAATTTCATTTCTAATTATAATACTTCACTTACCTGGTGTTTTATAATTTGAGGATCCCAAAGTACTGTACAATTTTAACAGTTTAATATTCTGGTCAATTAAGGACCTATTTTGTTATCTGGATCAATTGAGATCCTGATAGGTTAATCCTTTGGAGTACAGAGCAAGCCTCCATAAAAGAGCTTTTTTTCCATGCGGAAACATTTTGTGGGCCTGAGGGTGGAACTCTTAGCTCCAATGAACCAGGCTCTCTTGTACAGCAGGGCTGAGAACAGAACACAGGGCATTATAGTCATTCTGGGTTTTGGCTCAGTTGATACATCCTGTACATGTACCCACTGACCACCCCCCCCTATAATCTTCCCACAAGCCTTCTCTCAGCATAGAGGTATGGAGATAGTATCTGTGGTGAGCAGGGGAATCACCCGATGCTGCTTCTCATACCCTTTACATAGAGTTTTAATGCTATTTTTGGGCCTTTCACTGGTTAGTAGACTATCCTATGCACTCACCCCGTCACTGGGTTGACACCACCCAGCTACAGGAGATCAATGGCAGAGACCTGAAGCAAGAAGTCCTGCTCTAATGTATGTAAAAAATTTCCTTCCCACCTGCCTGTATGTCTTGGCCAGCATTTAAAATATTGCATATACTTATTGAAAAGTGACTCTTCAAAGAGTTCTCCTTATGTCTGCCTGTCATAGAACATTCACATTCATTTAACACACTGGTGTGTCTGAATGGACATGATGGTGGTCCCAAAGGTGGGATAGAATTAGTTTTGTCAGAAACAGTTTATCCCTTTAGCTCAGGTTAGAATGATCTAGTAAGAAGTATTTACAATGTAGCAGCCCGCAATAGATCTATAAAATTCCAAAAGACTGAATTAACAGGGAATTTTCCAGCATGGTGTAGGTCCCTCAAAATGAGCTGTCAATTTTACTGTAGACAAACGCCAGATGCATAGCTCCCTACAAGCAATTATGTGCATTCATTGTGGAAACTACTTCGGTGCAAATATGGGGGTAGAGAATGTTATTTTAGATGCCACACAATTAATTAATTAATAATCATGCATACAGATTGATACATATTCATGGGATATAAAGGGAGAATAAAGACAGCTATTTGTTCTGCAGAATTTGCAATTTAAGTAGAAATTTAATGCGCTACTTAAAAATATTACACTTATTACACACATAGGTCTGTTGATACATTTGTAAATCTTAAGAATACAGGTATCTGAAGAAGTGGGCTGTGCCCACGAAAGTGCATGATACCGCCTACATGTTTTGTAAGTCTTAAAAGTGCTACCAGACTATTTGTTGTTTTTTAAGTTCAATCTATTTTGGACAGTGTAGAAAGTTTGCAGTTCAAGGATTTTAGCATCTGAAGAAATATTGGATGTATCCTAACAGAGCAGACAACTGGCCTTTTAAAACTTGTTTCCAGTAGGGGCCAACATCTGATGCTTGATCTTCAAAGGAAAACGAAACACCATTAATGCATTTAACCCAATTCTCAATTAACATGCCCTCTGTGGCCATCTGCAGTACCCTAAAGCACAGTAATTGGTTCCCTTTCTTTGAGCTTGCAAAATAGTATATGTTTTTAATAGCAATAAAATTATCTCTCCCTACAAATAAAAATAAAAATTGACTTTGCTTTTTCAGCAGCAAATTCCAGCAGGCTGACTATGCTATATAAATTAGAAACAACAAAAGGAAATGCCAACTATATCAGACTTTAGTTTTAAATGTTTCTTTGTTCTTATACTGTAAACCAAGATGTTAAAGGACCACCCTATCAGACTTCAACATAACCTTCTTAATTTTCAATACCACAATAATTTTCTATACTCTCTTCTTCTCTCCTAGCTAAATAATCCCAATTCTTAAAATCTTTCTGTATATTAGTCCACATGTACCTTTAGCTATCTATGTTGTCCTTATGTGTGCCATTTCAGTCACTATTATGTTTTTCTTAAAGCAAACAAAACTGGACCTTAAAAGTCCAAATGGAAGACATAGCATTTCTCAGCAGAATGTCAGTATGGACCTGATATTGAGAGATGCTGAGCACCTGTACTTTCCTTTTGTTGCAGTACAGGCTCTGTCCTTGTGTTTTTGTATTACTCTCTATCTCTCTTTTTAATCTACCCAAATATTCTATTTACTTTTTAAGATGCTCTTCTATGCAGATTTCTCTGCTGTATGGCTTGCTTTATTGATCTAGCAATACAGCCCTACAAATCTGTGTACATCTGCTTTTTATCTGTGGGTATCCACATCTGCAGATATGGATGCAGATACTGCTGCTCATTTTTGTGGCTATGAATGTGAATGCAGATACAAATTTTGAATCCAGAATCCTGCAGATTTGTGGGTATTTATATTGGTGGGTATCTGCATCCATGGATGTGGATATTCGCAGATCAATTTTGGAGATGCAGATACCAATTTTGTAACTGTGCAGGGCTCTATCTATCATTGATTTCTCCTAACACTTTCCCTTCATAGGTTCAAGTAAATTCGGATCCAATGGACTGGATCCAATGAATATTGAAGTCAATTAACAGACTTTTGCTGACTTAACAAGGGCTTATGTGGGAAGGTTAAACTGCTTTTGCTGATGTGTTTTACAGCACCCACATTTCTAAGCTGAACTGTGAGTATGTGCCACTTGGCTATGTAGTCCTTCAAGAATGTTTAAATCTTTCTGCAGTTTCTTTGCAATCCTTCAGAGTTTTCCACTAATTGAAATTTCATCTACAAAGACCAACAACTTGTTGCTCGCTAGTCCCTTGAAATCACCAATAAATACACTGGCCCTCATTCCAAATTTAAGGCACTCACTCTGCAATTTTTTTCCCCTTGGAAGTGTAGCCATTCATGATAACAGTCCTATTTCCAGCCTTTTAAAAAAAGGATTGCACCTCAGATTTGGGGTTGTTTACTTTGGATTTGGGTCTAAATTTTAAAGAAGGCCTCCACCTATTCTTAATATTCTTTCTGAGATATTATTTCAGACTTATTGTAATGCTGTAGGTGTGACCCTAAAGAGGGAAAGACATCCATTGTGCTATGTACTGTACAAACATAGAGAAAGGCAACATTTTTATTGCATGGGATTTATAACCAGGTAGATTTTTCCAACCCCCAATCCTCTCTAGCCTATCCTAGTCAGTTCATGTTTTCTTCACTGTACAACCTCCCCTCACTCTTTACAATCTAAACTCTCTTTCTTGTTTAACATATATTCAGGGATTACCGTATCCTATCAATTTTTACTGGCCCATCCGTTTTCTGAGCTATTGCTTCCAATGACCTCCTCTTGACAAGCTCAGGCATCATAAGTAACACAAAACTCACAGGACTGCAACTTCCCATGGCAGTCATAGCTAAGATCAGGATTATATATTCTGTATGTTCTGAAATCTGCCCAGTAAAAAAAATAGTGCTAAGCAAAGATAATATATTGACCAGCCAGTTGTAAAAGGAGAATTCTACAGAATTAACCAACTTTTAGAATCTTTATGCAGAGTTCATATATGAATACAGACATGAGTTAAAGAATTTTGTTAGATGTATTTCATTAATATATTATACGAATGCATATAGAGACATAGCCTATAAAATACCTGGCCTGATTCATCCCTGTGTTATTCTGCATTTACACCAGTGAGCTGCAGCAGCATAAAACTGGAGCAATGTAGTAGTAAATTAAACCCACTGCACACACAAATGACATACAGATGTAGTGACTATAAATGTAGAGTGTGAAACATTGTGAGATTTCAATATGTTCACAGTATTTAGGTAATTATTGTATATATTTTACTCCATCATGCAAAGGGCATCATCATATTTGCTGGTTAGTAGAGTTACAATCTCTGAAGAAATTAGAAGAGAGAGCGAGAGAGAAAGAGAGCAAGTGAGCAAGAGAAATCTCTTAAGTATATGAGTCTACTTCCTCCCCAAATTATAGAATAATTTTGCTTCAGATGTACAAGGCAGATTACCTCATGACAGTTGGCTTGTAAACGTATTAAATGGACGGCAGCATAGTGAGTGTCCTTCAAGATGAATTTCTTGTCATCTTTTCTTGTGAAAAGAGGTTTATCCCAGCCCTTCAAAATCTGTAGGGTATCCTATTTTTTAGTCTCAAAAATATATTTGGTTTTCTTTGAAGATGAATAAAATGGAGATGCTATTATATTCAATTCCTACTTTGCAGCATGCAGAAATTCCTTTGCTATTAATACGCCAGAGAAACAGATTTCTTTGATTTTTTTTTTAGTTTAGAAGATCAAAAGCTGTCAGAAATTGTTTCAAAAGAAAAATAAATCTTTGAGAAGTTGGATTGGAAATAATGACTCTCCAGCACGTTGCATATATAGTACTTAGAACTGTTTAATGGTAGATGTTGTTATAGTTGTGTTTGTCCCTTTACTACCACCATTCACTGAGATGCTATATCAATTTTATTCCCCACCCTTCTCTGCAGGTATATTATTAGAAAACAGGATATGAAGGGTGTTTATTGCAACTTCTAGCAAGTATTTCCCCAGGTAAAAGAAAATAGGGCCTGTTTGGGGAAAGAGGGAAGGTGCAATACAGCTCTGGATTAACAGGAAAAAAATTATTCTGAAATGCAGTTTGAAAACAATACAGATTTTTCAAACCATTGATATGCAAGCTTAGTTTTGTCCTAATATCAAAGCTTATTTTAAATTTCATAATTAGTATTTTGGAGATAAGGAAGGCATCAAGCTGCAAAAGAGAGATGAAATGGCACCTGTTTATTTTCAGTTTTTGCTATGCGAGGTCCCTGACCTGAGCAATGCGTTTCATGGATGGTAATCTTTGCAGGAGTCTCATGTGCATTAAGACTACTACAGATATTGCCCTCTGTGTGCATACAATATCCCTGGCATATCAGAGATCCATATGTGCTGTAGAACTTGGAGATGTGATAACAATGAATTTGAGACTCTGTTTGGATTAATGTCCTCAAGAAACATGGTCAGCAATTAGCTATGCTGCAATGACTGAAAACGGATAAAAAAAAAAAGAAAGCAGAGACTTAAACAAGAGGATTAAATATTGATAAACATTAGAAGTTATTGGAAATTGCCTTAAATTTGTGTAGGATAGCCTGCAGCTAAACATCAAGATGTTATTGAGGCTTTCAATGTTTTCAGTGTTAAAGCTTTAAACCAATTTTAAATGTACAACTCAGCCCTAATTGTGCCATATGTACAATTGAGTATTGGGGACAACATACATTTATTCATGATCAAGGGCATTTATAATTGTTATGCTGGCAAATAAAGAAGTCAAAGACTTTTTTTGGTGGGGGAGGGCGGAAGAGAAAGGAGAGAATATACTTTTAATTCCAAATTAAAATGTTTAGTGCCTTATAAAGCAGTTGCTATTTAAACTGCCAATAATGTTTAACATGAATTTACTCACCACTGCCTATCCTCATACTGTATAATTTATAACACTAAGCCCTTTCAATACTCCAAAATGCCAGATAAACTTTTCTCATTTGCTCTTAATTTGGTCACGCAGGATAATACCAACATCTGAAGGCTCTTTAAACTGCTTTTTAAAATGCATTCCTGAAAGCACCACCAATGCCACCTCTGCTCCTTGTCATCTTCCATAATTATTTCCAATCCAAAGCGGTCCTTAATGCGCTTATTAATCTGGCATTCTCCTCAGTGTGAAGCACATTCAGCTCTATTAATTTTTAAAAAGCCTTTTTTATGGGGGACTGCAGATGCTTGGCTATTACTGAAAAGCTATTAGAAGTTAACACCTTTCTCTCCCCAGAGACTGGCATCATCCTATGCCTCTAAATGCCACCCTATTTTACATTATCAGCTGCTAAGACTAAGTATTAGAGACTTTTTTTTTACTTCTGAACTGTTAATGCTATTATTAGCTAATGGCAGAGTTCTGCATAGCGTATAGATACATACACTCTTGGTGCATGCCTACAGCATATAGACTTTTATTTATCTGGTCTCTGAACAATAATGGCTCTCAGTCCTTCCACTCACTAGCTAGGAATGCTTAGGGGAGCTATCTGCCTTAGCTCCCAAGAGTGAAAATTATTTATGGCTTTTCTTAATGTTTATATTACATCCATGCCCATTTTTTTTAAGAGGAAAAAAGTGAAGAGACGGATGCTGTTTTCCACCAACCTGTTTTCCACAAACCTCCAAATTGAAGTATTTTTTTGAGGATTATTTCTTATAGAAATGTGCCATGGCTTTGTTTCCATTGATTTGTGAGCCTTCACTGAACGATTGGAAACTAAAGACATGTTAACAATGCTATTTCTAAGCTGGGAGCAAATATCATGAATGGTCTTCTGTTCCAGGCTATTCATTTCTCAAACTAACTGCTGCTGTAGAAGTCAAACAGAGTCCGGTCTTAAGCATGGGCCGAGGTGTTCCTGGTAACTCCTTAAATCCAAGCCTCATTCTATGATCTCTAGATGTATCTATAAGCAAGCCTCTGTATATTCTGTGATTCTGTGTCTGTGAAATGTGCCATGCAGCTCAGAAACGTGCTCCAGAATCTCAGGTTTCATTTAAAAAAGGCTTTGTTTCTAGCCCTCATAAAGGTGAAGAACACCTCAAAACTGTGAACAGTCTATAAACAGACAAGAGACAATCCCTCCCTTGAAGACCGTGCGGCTACGTCTACACTGGCATGATTTTCCGGAAATGCTTTTAATGGAAAAGTTTTCCGTTAAAAGCATTTTTGGAAAAGCGCGTCTAGATTGGCAGGACACTTTTCCGCAAAAGCACTTTTTGCGGAAAAGTGTCTGTGGCCAATCTAGACGCGCTTTTCTGCAAAAAAGCCCCAATCGCCATTTTCGCGATTGGGGCTTTTTTGCAGAAAAGAAATCTCTGCTGTCTACACTGGCCCTTTTGCGCAAAAGTCTTTCGGAAAAAGACTTTTGCCCAAACGGGAGCAGCAAAGTATTTCCGCAAAAAGCACTGATTTCTTAGAGTAGGAAATCAGTGCTTTTGCAGAAATTCAAGTGGCCAGTATAGACAGCTGGCAAGTTTTTCCGGAAAAGCGGCTGATTTTCCGGAAAAACTGGCCAGTCTAGACACAGCCTGCATGTCTGAGGAGCAGGTTGGCTTAAAGTACTGGTAATGCCTTTGCAGCTAGATCCCTGATTTGAATGCAGTCCAGGACAGTGGAGAAAAGTAGCTATTTTGTGGCCCATGTGAAATGAACACTGATTGTCACAGTCCAATTCTTAGTGGACAGGTATTCATATTATTAACCCCTCCCCCTCAAATCTGCCAATGTTGGTACTAAATGGGCCCTCTGATTAATATCTGTGGAGAAGACAGGCATTGAACTGGCATGGAGACTGACCTTCACCATCTGTTAGACATGTCCAGGTCTGGACACACTTGCTGCTAGTGTTGCATCTGTTGCTGGATAAACAGGGACGTCAGAGCTTGATCATAGGTCCTGGTTCTGGCTGCCTTAAAGGGAGAGCCAAGGATTTTCTTTTGACATAGGTAAATCTTTAGGTGGCCTCCGGGCAGTATACATAGCTCTAAGCCACCTGCTTCCTGCTCCTTGGATATGGGTCATGCCAG